GATTACCCAAGAAACTGTTAGGATTAACGAGGGAATACAAAATACTGTTCACACACAAGAAGTTCAGTAACTTTCTTAGATCCCAGAAACAACCAACTGGAAAATGTATTAGAAAAAATWGCTCACAAAAGCAGCAGAAATGTAGACTGTCTGGTAATAAACTTAATGAAAATGTGCAAAGATGTGAAGAAAATTATAAGACCTTTCTTTAAAAATTTTAAGAAAAAACAGTTGCTGTCTTTATACCCTTGGAGATGGTAAAAGCCTTCTTAAAGGAGATATAAAATGACATACATCATAAAGCAATGAGATGAAGCTRTGTCCGTAATGGCACCTTATAATAAGATCTGACTAGGTGGATCTAAAAGTCCATAAATTTTTAAAAAATTATCTGCATTGTTGGTATTCATTGTTTCGTATGCTCAAGACAACTGGCATCTGTCATTTTTGCACCATGCTAATTCCAGAGGAAGGCTTTATAATATCTTGAAGCTAAATTTGGGTTCTCGAAATTTCAATCTTTAGCAGAAACAAACTGATTTTTAACACAGCCAAGGTGTAGTAACAAAACTGGAAAAAAAAAAAAAAAGTCCAGACTCAAAAGTTCTAACTCAGGATAATCTTGGAGAGTTTTTTAAAATCAAGAATGAGACTCCTTAGAGATGATGACACACCTGAGAAGAGGATCTATATTAAAACATGTATAATTTTATTAAAAACAGAAGCGAATGACACCATATGTATACTTAAAATTCTTTTTTCCAAAGTCAAAAAGCATTTCTTCTAAAATGTGATTCTCTTTTACTAAGCACTTCAAAGAGCCTTAATTAATTTTTGAGATTCCAACTGACCTAAAGGCAAGTCTTAAATGATATTTACTTGAGAGTATAAATGGAATGACATTTTGGGAGAGCCATTTGAAAATATCTAGCCAAAGCCTAATATTCATACTCCCAAGCGAAGCAAATCTAGTTTTAGAAATTTATCCTGAGAAAAATGGGCAATGACATAGATACAGGGATATTCCTTTTGGCACTGCTTATTATGTTAAAAATTGGAAAAGGCCTAAATATAAAATAATGAGGTCAAGTAAATTGTGGTTCATTATATAGTGGAACTACTACATAATATATTAAAATTATATCAGAATTATGTATAAGAAGTCACTATATATTGCTAAGGGAAAAAAAAAACAAGTTATAAATATAAATGTAGTAGTGCTATATGATCCCAATTCTGCTTTAAAGGTGTATGTGCATCCACATGTATAATTTATAATATAAACATGTTTAAATATTTAGTATAAATTGTTTACTAAATTGTTATGTATAAATTAATAGTATTAATCTTTGAATTTGAGATTAATAAGTAAAAGCAAGAGAATATTCTAAGGAGAAGGGGGTCATGTACCAATATGGTGTCTACACTGAACTATGTCTCTGGTTGATTTTTGCTAATTTCTTTTGAAAGGTCTGGTAATCTAATTATTCTATAGTCAATTTTTTTACTTATATAATAATCATTAAATATTTAATTGAGGCAACCATGCAATTGTTAAGGTTTCTCAAATTTTTATAATATTGAATACTATATATATGATGGAGAAATATGGTGGAGGGGAGAGAAAGGAAGAGAAAGAGGAGAATGCAGATAGATCATCATATGATTTATTGTTTTATCATGTATATTTGTTGTAAAGTTTTAAGACAATTTTAGACTTGATAATCTGGAAAGAAATTTTCAATAGAATATATTACTGAATAGTTAATGTCCTTAAGATTTCAGTCTACTCTTATAGATCTAATTTTTTTGTGTAAGGAACAGGTGGCTTTCTCTTTTATATGTTTCGCCACTGCCTTGTTAGCTATAGCTCAAAACTTGTTTTCTGAGCTCATCAAGCTTTATCTAACCAAACCCAAACTGGCATATGGGTTTCATCCACGCGTTCATATGAATCCTTTGGCTGATGACTTCTGCCATGTGTCTAATCATTTTATAAAATCCATGCTTGGATCTGATGCAGTGGGACTAAGGAATATAGTGGCATAGAGACTGCTCCAGCTGCTAAACTAGAATTTAGTGCCATCAATGCCACCAAATATTGGCGATATATATCTGGACAAAGGAAGGATCCTAGTAATTGTGAGTGAAAAATTTGTATTATGCATTTCAGCTTAGATCTACTAATAACATTTCTTTAAACGCCTTGTTAGACAGTGAAATCTGGGAATAATTATCAAGCACCATACACACTGTTTACAATAGAATCATATTTCTTTTCTTTTTCTCCCCCTCCCACTCCCCCCCCTTTTTTTTTGCATAAAAAGTAGAATGCTGCTGAATGGTACCCAAATGTCTGTTGTATACCATGCCAATACAGCAGCCCAGCCAAAAATGCAAATAGAATAGTTTGCCAAGTAAAAGAAAACATAACAAATTGGTAATGGTTTCTATCTTGACAGAAAATGAAAATGATCCCTCAATGTGTGGCCACTCATGCGGACACATAAAAATGTCTTAGAAGCAATCATTTTACCTCAGATAACAGACTCTGACAGTGTAGTTCAGCACACTGGCTATCTGACTTCTTAGAAAAATGGCAACCATGACCTACAAAATAGTCTGGGAACCATGTAATTTATGCATAACACACATGCACATGCCATCCACTCATAATATTTGCTATAAATCATTTTGAATACAAGACTCCTTTCCTGAGTAGAATATACTTTATGAGAGAAGATATAAATTGCCAAAGACTTGATAAAGCTGAGCTGGTTTATTTATGAACAGAAATGATATTGCTTATAACGTTATAAAATTCCAATGGTCTACATTGCAATAGGAAGGCATTACATAAGGTCTGTATGTATTCTATATGATTCTGCACAGTGCCTTGAACACTAAAGGTATTTTTACTAGATGTCAAATAAAACGAATACCCAAATTATTCTGGAGGCACACAGTATATAGATCTGACTTTCTGTTTAGGAGACTGCAACTAAAAGCAGAAATGAACCCCCTAAAGACCTGCTAATGGTTCTTTTAACTTACTTCCCCCTCCTTTATGACATTTTTTTTTTCTTCAGATGAAGAATTAGCCAACACTGACTAGTGATTGTTTTCCCCCATCTGGTGAAGATTTCCCATTTGTTCAACTTTCTAATAAGGTTGTTAGGTGGAACATTGATTGTATGATCAAATCCCACCAAAAATAAGAATGGCACTTTTAAAAATACATAATTGATATGTGAAGATAATGAAGAATTCAAAATGTGAGAATACTGAGCCAAGGGGCTAGGAAGAACCTTGGGAAGTAAAATGATCTTGCCAAGTTGAAAATAAACTTGAATCCTGTGGGTTATGAGTTTCAAATGAAACTTCTGGGGTTTGAATTTGTTGGTGACTTTTCTGTTCAATAAAAAAAGGCTTATATGGCTTATAAAAAGGTTAAAAAAACTTATTGGGCATCAAACTGCTCTTACAAAACACCATCTTGATGAGTTAGGTGTAAATGAATCAGAAACACATGGGTTATATTTCCTTAAAAAATGCATATGGATTCAAAAATAAGGGGAAGAGGACTTGGCAAAACATTTTTTTTGTGTGGTGGCTGAACCCAAAATATTTGAAAGATATTTTGAGATATTCAAGGAATCCAAAATAAAACTAAACCTGTCCAGTCATATAAAAAAGCAGAAAGTTCTTTTATGCAAATGTGCATTTATCTCTATGGGTCAATCAACATTCACTGAGCCTTCATCTTTGGCCTGGAACTATGGAAGGAACCAGCTTCTGTCTTCAAGAAACTTTAAATTTAAACATAAATAAATACATAAGTAAAAGAAACCTGTCACAAGAGATAGAGGATTTTATAAAAATTGGCATCATAAACCAGATAGCTTGGAAACTATACATTAATTGAGAAGTACACAAGTGCTTTCAGGGTTCTATGTCTTCATTCCATTCAAATCATAATCCTCTCAGCCCTTTTACTTAAAGTTATATGTAGTTGCAGAATCTTATTAGTTTAAATGTTTCCCTAATAAGTGTTTTTATGTTTTTTAAATGTGTGTCCCAGCCCTCCTTCCTCCAACCTCAGATTTGTGAGTGCTCAACAAATCATGCTGACTGGTTTCCTGGAGGATGGGAGTGTTGAACAGTTTAAAATAGAGGAGATGCTTTCTGGCAGGGAACTCTGAGGCCATGATTCTGGGTTGGGGTAATGGCATATTTGATGGTTCAGAGAGTGAGTCATGAGTGTATGTGTGGGGGGATACCCTGGCTTGTCTGCAACAACATGCCTGAGCCAGGATGTAGAGGGAGGTGGAGGCAGTTAGGTGTGGGGAGGCCTAATATACGGTATGTGAAGTCAACTTGAGGACAGAGGGTTGTGATAAGGGAAAACATGATTCTTCTTCTTCTTTTTTTTTTTTTTGCCAGCATAGGATAAAGCTCTAAGCACAGGACACGAACATGTCGTTAGTTTATTTCTTATCAGTGTCTTTAAGAGCTGAAAAGTATTCAAAGATAAAAATAAGATTAACTATGTATGTGTTGCTAGGATCCTGTAGATCATAAACTTGAAGAGGAAGTTAGAAGGATTATGAAATAGATTACTGAGTTTTAAAATGTGTGTGGGAAAGTGCGAAAAATTATTGATTTACTGTTTTTAAGGCTGTTTCCCAGTTATTTAACTTGAATTTTACCTTTTCTAAAATTTTAGAAGTACTTAGAGCAGGGATAGAGTCCAATGTTTCTTACATATTTTCAACTGGCTAGTACAATATTGGGGACACACCACACACTCAATAAATGCTTTACTTTATAGTAAATATTTCACTTTATATTGAACTGAAATGAAGTAAAAGAGTTCTGAGGCCCTGTAATGTGATGGTGAAGTATGAAAAAAAAAAGATGGTATAGTGGAAATGTTTGCATAATGTCTCTTATTTGTGTCTATTCATTCATGGTTAATACAAAGAAATCAAAGCTCTTACCATCCTTCATCATCTTCTACTTCTGTTTCGGAAATGTCATTTTCAGGAGTTTCAGCAATTGCTTGAGTGAGTTTAGATTTAAACTGGTTCAGCAGCGCAAGGGTCTGAAATAACAATTTGATTGCTAAGAAAATATTCTACTTGGATATAAAGCACTTACAAAAATGTTTGATTTTTGAAGGAAAATAACTGTCTTCAGGCTGTAACAATGATATTAATAAACCTTGACATTGTTCTGTTTGGATTTTTGGTGACATTTTTCCTCAGAGATAGTTCACCATTTTCTAATTCTGGGAAAATATATTTGCTTATGTAGAAGACACTTTCATTTTAAAAAAAATATTTGCTTATTACWAGTTAGGTTTTTAATGCTCCCTAAATAGAAAGGTAATTCAGTAAGATATGTGGAAGCAAAACCCACCACAAACAAATATATTTTTCATTTAATAAATCTCCAAAAATGTAAAAATATCAATATTGAGAAAGTGGAATGAATGAACCCACTAGCTGTTGGAAGATGGGCAAATTGAATAATAGCGTTAGAAAGCTGTTGACATCTATCAAAAACTTGAATTTGATTATACTCTCTGATGATGCAGTATTTCTAATCCTGCAAATATATTCTAGAAAAATAATCTGAAACAGAGAATATGGCTTATGTAGAAATATTCATATAAATGAAAAAAATGGAAACATTCAATGTCTATCAATGAGAAAACACATAAATTTGGTAACAAGCAATAGATGTGCTATTATATTGTAATTAAAAATTATACCAAAAAGCATTGTACTACATTTTTGAGTGAAAGAAGGAGTATCATGTTGAATATATTAAAAAGAAAGAAAGAAAGAAAGAAAGAAAGAGAGAGAGAGAGAGAGAGAGAGAGAGAGAGAGAGAGAGAGAAAGAGTACTCTGAATTCTTTTTTGGTTCCCATATCCTTTGTAGGCAAGAAGCACCAAGTGGTGACAATCTTAAAATCACATTGTTTCCTGGCTATATCTTACCAGCCTCTCCAGAATTTAAGCAGAGAACATGGGCTAGGAAAACTTTTTCTGTTCTACATTTTTAAAGAGTACATCCTTGTGAAGTGGCATAAAGTACTATATTTCTGAAAAATCAAGGGCTTAATAATGATTTTTGCATGGTGAATTTGAACTAAAATTCTCACATTTCATAAGGAAAAAGATGTGTGACCGATTGAGTTAAACATGTAACTAGGCTGGGCATGGTGATGCACACCTGTAATTCCATCCCCCCATCCCCCACCACCTTTCCTTTCTGTTGGTACAGGGATTGAACACAGAATCATGCTAAATTGTCCAGGCTAACCTTGTACTTGCAATTCTCCTGACTCAGCCTCCTGAGTACCTAGGATTACAGGCATGCACCACTCTTCCCAGCACCAATTTGTTTTTAGAGCCAATTAATGTGCTACTGGCATTGGCTCAAAAGTGGGGAGTGTAACAAACAAACAAAAAAATCCTCTTGGGCCTTTCTTATCTTTTCCTATATTCGACTAGACTTTGTCTAGCTGCATTCCAAAACAAGAGAAGACAATGGGCAGGAAAGAAAACATCACAAAAATACAGGCGCACATTATAGGGAAGAAGATAGCATCTATGTGGAGACATTTTTGTTTGGCATCACATGGGGAATTATTCAGTCTTCTGATTTTTGTTGAAAGAATGAATTGTCAACCATTTATAGCATGGCTCTTCAGCACAGAAACTTCTCCACTTGGAGAAGTGATTCTGAAGGTGCCCAACCTTAGTAGACTGTTGGTGCATATCTACACTAGAGTCTCCCATTTTATGTTTGTGCCTCCACTTCTGCCCTGGGTCCCATCTACACTTTACACTGCTGCCAGGTTGGGTAGATCTTCCCCAAATGCAAATGAGATCATGTCACTTCTGTTATGGTTCCTCACTGTCCTTAGGGTCAACTGAATCCTTCCTATGAATCAAAAATACCTTTTCATAAACTGACTCCTGCCTATTTCTTCAGCCTCATCTCCTTCCTTCTCTTGGTTATAATATCATTCAGTTCTTTGCAAAGAGGACAAAGACTTTTCACATATTATTCCTTTTGTCTCTGCTTCACCTGGTTATCTCCTATTAAACTTAAAATTTGGCTGACAAGTCATTTCTCAGGGAGACCTTTCCAAATTATTAGGCTGTGTTTAGTTCTGACTGTTACCCATTTACATTGTTCCCTGAACCTCTCCTTTTCATAATGCTCAATCCCTTCTATTGGTATTACTTGTTTAACTGGTTCCTTTCCCTAACAGTTTGGAAAGGGCAGCAATGGGTCTTTCTGTTAACCACCAAATATAGTTATTAGTATGTGACAGATTTTAAGTATTAGTTGCTTTAAGAATGGGGAGAAAAAAATGCATGAATAAGAGTGATCCTCAGGTAGATCTTTGGTAGAATAGTTACTATGAGATTCTATGACTCCATGAAAACAAGCTAATAATGCACTTCATCCTAATTTCACTTGATGTGCCATTTCTTTTGAAAACTGCATAAAACTCAGTACTCTGTAATTAAAATTTCCTATACCAAACTTCTTGTCTAACTTTCCCTATGCTAAAAACTGATGCATGATCAGTTATACTATAAATGACACCTAATTACTGGTAATCTTTCTTTACCAGTAATTAGGTGTCATTTATAATATAGTTTCTGATTAGTTTAATTTAAACAAATAGGTTTGGGCTTTTTAATTTACTTTCATTTTGCCTATTTTAGTTATTATGCCTAAAATGGTATGTCCTTATATATATATATATATATGGCAACAACAAAATTAATTGATTTTGKTCTGCCCCCCTACCTTTTCCACATAAAGGGCTGCTGAAGAGATTTATTTTATCAAGTGCCAAATATTGCATGGTGTATGCAGCTGGCTCCCAAATTGTTGTGCTAGATCTTTCTCTTCTCATCTCTGATTTTAGATAATTTCCTAATATTGCCACCTAAAGATTCAGTAATTACTTGCAATAAACAGGGTTTATTACAGTGAAATCAACTTGTAGGTCAAATGCCTTACTTCTAGGTAGTTTACCATTTCAAATTGAGTTGGATAGCTAGCATGTGACATGCTGGGCTGGAAGAGATTCTTCCATCATTTGCAATTACCTCTTTTCCATTTCATAATATTCACTGAATTTCTGAAGGTATGTGTCTATGAAGTTCCTGTATTTGATATGGGAGTACCAGGTTAAAACTTCAAAGTGTCAGGCTTTTTCACTTAAATGTCTGAAAAGAACGCTAGAACTTGGATCCTGATATGAGTGGCCCAAGTCCTTTGCACCCTATCCTATATAAATACATCCTTTTAAAAGAGATCTTGCTTTTCTCAATATAATCAAAATAGGCTCAATTTAGCAACACTGGAAAACAATGTATGTATGGATTTTTTTATTTTTATTTTTTGCAGTTGTAGATGGACGGGATGCCTTTATTTTATATATATAGTGATAAGGATTGAACCCAGTGTCTCACAAATGCTAGGCAAGTGCTCTGCCACTGAGCTATATCCCCAGCCCCAGGATTTTGGTTTATTGAGGTTACCTGGTCTTCCCGGGAAGTTCCCTTTTTTGCCTGTTGCTTCCTCAAAGCTTCATACTTTTGCTTTTCTCTTCTATATTCTGCAACAGCACCATCTGGAATAGCTTCTTCCTCTAAAAAATAGTAGAAGAGAATTAGAATAAGTAAAACAAAAGCTCTGTGGATTTACACTAATGTATATGCTCATATCACTAAAAAGGAAATCTAAATTTGGGTTTGGTTTTTCTCCATTTAATTTCAAAACAAAAGTAATAACTTTCATCAGTTCCACAACCATTTCTTCCATTAGAAACTGACTGGTGTTAATTTATTAACCAGTTTTATGAAGATCTTTATTCTATCCCATACTAGTTTAATTTTTCTTTTCAGGCAAATTTAAGATCATAAAATCACCTATTTTCACTTTTAAAATAATTCACTTTACATTGTTTTCCTGCCTTATAAGACAGAACATTTAATATATTGGTTGATGTTACAATTACTTGTCAATTTCCTTCCCTAGTTACAATAACAATGACAAACTTCAACTTGATGGTACAATAGAAAATAAATAGATATATTTAACAAATCAGTCAGGATAGAGATCAGAAGCAGACAAAAATAATTTTCACCAAATTAGAATTTAGAAAATAAATATATGGGTTTGATCCTGTAATAATTCCATGTGAAGATTACTTAACATTTTATTTTCACATAAAAAATGTGGACAGTTTTGCCTAAAAAATATAAGTAACTAACACAATGGCTTATATGTATATATTATATATTAATGAATATTATGACTAAAAACAAAACTAATTAAAACAAAATAACATAAGCCTCAAAGAACCTATCACTTTTTGTCTTTGGAAAATAAACATGAATCAGATGTGATCAAGAAGACTGCTGTCAAATGGTGGTTATTAAGAATATAAGCAACAATAAGTGTTGGCAAGGATGTGGGGAAAAAGGCACACTCTTAACATTGTTGGTGGGATTGCAAATTGGTTTAACCAATCTGGAAAGCAGTATGGAGATTCCTTAGAACACTTGGAATGGAACCACCATTTGACCCAGCTATCCCACTCCTAGGTTTATACCCAAAAGACTTAAAAACGGCATACTACAGTGATGCACTCACATCAATGTTCATAGCAGCACAATTCACAATAGCTAAATTGTGGACCCAACCTAGAAGTCCTTCAGTAGATGAATGAATAAATAAACTGTGGTATATATACACAATGGAATATTACTCAGCATTAAGAGAGAATAAAATCATGGCATTTGCAGGTAAATAGATGAAGTTGGGGAATATCGTGCTAAGTTAAGTAGGCCAATCCTCAAAAACCAAAGGCTGAATGTTTTCTCCAATAAGTGGATGCTGATCCATAATGGGAATGGGAATGGGGAGCATGGAAGGGAAGGAGGAACTGTGGATAGGGCAAAGGGGAGGGAGGGGAGGGGAAAGGGAATGGGGGTAGGAAAGATGGTGGAATGAGATGGACATCATTACCCTAGGTACATGTATGAAGACACGAATGGTGTGACTCTACTGGGGACAACCAGAGAAATGAAAAATTGTGTTCCATTTGTATACTATGAACTGAAATGCATTCTGTCAAATTAGAACAAACAAACAAAAGAAGACTGTTGTCTTTCTACTGAAGCCTAAGTTATTTGCTGCACTGTTACTTAGTTTGAGGAACATTATACATGTGTAATATATTAAAATCTTATTCAGAGAATGAACTTATAAATTGTCTTTTTGTGGTTATTTAATATGGGTTTGATAGAACTTGAAAGGAATAATTTGTTTTATAAACAATTTTAATGTACTCTTTTAAAATACTGTTTGTCAAACTCTGCTTTCAAGACTAACAGCTGTAAATGCCAAAAACTGAGCAAATTAATGAACAAGGAGCTATTACAGAAATAATATCTGAGGCACATATGCTTAGAAACCACTGGCAAAGACAGGATGTTATAAATGTTGGTATATATAAAGTGATTCTTATAATAGGATTTAAAATTACTTTCATATTTCTCTTTTGAATTATATCTTCTTCGAATCCTATAATAGTTGGATTTGCATTGTCCTGAGATAAAGAACAAGCAACTTAACATCTTAGGATCCCCAAATGCAGCAGTTAATGCTCTGTTTTCCAGTCTGACCTCTCACAACTCTTCTTGCCACATCCACCTTGAAATCACTTGGTTTTTCACTCGGTTTCCTAAATATTATTCTTTAAATTCATCCTGCTCTCTTGAGCCTGAGGCTTTGCACCTGCTGTTTCTTCTTCCAGGAATACTAAAAACATTACATTTCTACATTTTCCAATTAATTTTCCTTACTTAATTCCTACCTATTCTTTAGATGTCAGCTTCGTTGCCACTTCATTCAGGTAGACTTTTTGATTCCAGTCGTAAAGTTAGGTTTGGATGTTGCTCCTTTGAGCTACCACAGCACCCTTTACCATTTATCACACTTAATGGTAATTTCCTGTTTATTCTTCTTTAATCCTCAATGGACATTAAACTCTTTGAGGAAAAGTCACATTTCCCTGGCACTGAGGGTAGTGCTTGGCAAGTGCTGGAAGCTCAATAAATAGTCAAACAAATGAAGTGGAGAAAAGTGGAGAAAGGGAAAATTAGCAGGTAGTAGGCTGATTCCCCTAACCCTCCAGTTTCACAGTTACAGCAATATTTGCCATGCACTTGGAATCTCCTGCTTCCTCACACTTAGGGAGCCAATGATATTTCTTTTTTTTTTTGTCATTATCACAGGAATCTCATAAAATCCTAAGGTAAATTCTGATAAGTATCCTTAGAACTGTCTAATGTTTTAATAGTTAAAACAAATGCAAAAAAGAAAGGACAAGTTCTTTATTTAAGCAGAATTTCAGCTACAAATGATTGAAAACCTTTATTTTTGGTGACAATCTTAAAATAAATGGAAAGGCTGATGGGGAGGAATTCAGCTACTTCATGTCAGAGGTAAGTCAATCTCACAACCTTCAAAACAGATACAGTGATCTCATTTTAATGTACTTAACGTGAACTCCTTTAAATGTGGTCCCCTTTAGCCAGGACCACTTAATTTCACTTTTTAGGACTGTGTAGGAAAAAGAGAAAGAAAGTAAGGAAGAAAGGAAGAAAGAAAAAAACTGTGCCAGCAAGAAGCCTTAAGAATCAATTTCAAAAAATCAAGGATAGGTAAATTTAGATATATAATACAGTAAAGAAAATCTATAGGTATGCTATTTATAATATTAGGAAGTCTTTTAATAACAGAAAAAAGTAGTCATCTCATCTTGGAAACTGGTAATGATAAAAATTTTCTTCATAAGACTTTCTGTTATTATTTTAAGAAAACAAATTCACAATCTAAATATATATGTACATGCAAAGGGATTTGCCTGGCAGGATAAATGACAAGGTATTTTTTAAAATTGTTATTGCTGTCATTATATAGTATTTTTTATTTGTTGTTTTTAGATACACATGAGAGCATTAATCTCCAGGATATAAAGAAACTAAAAAATCTTTATACCCAAAAAACAACCCAATCAATAAATGGGCAAAGGAACTGAACAGACACTTCACAGAAGAAATACAAATGGTCAAAAAATATATGAAAAAATGTTCAACATCTCTAGCAGGTAGAGAAATGCAAATTAAAGGTATACTGATATTTCATCTCACTCTAGTCAGAATGGCAATTATCAAGAACACAAGTAACAATAAATGTTGGTGAGGATATGGTGAAAAAATTTTAAAGTAGCTATATTGAAGTATACTTTATATATAGTAAAATTCATTTTTGGTATACAATTTAATTAATTTGTTGTTGTATAGAGTTTATAACTTCCATTGTAATCAAGATAACACAGCTTCACAGCTCTATAAAGTACCTCTTAGTTAATTTTCCTCTTCTGGCACCAGGCTTCAGTGATTTGCTTTCTGTTACCATAGTTTTGCCATAACCAGAAACTCATATAACTGCAATTAAACCACATGCAGTCTTTTTAAGTCTGACTTTTTTCACTAAGCAAATATTCTTGAGATTCAACTATGTTTTGGGGCTTTCCTTTACATAACTGAATAGAAGTTCATAGCATGGATATACTCTAATTTGTTTATTCTTTTTTTAAAATTTATTTTTTAGTTGTAGTTGGACACAATAAGTTAATTTTATTTATTTATTTTTATGTGGTGCTGAGGATTGAATCCAGGGGCTTGCAGGTGCTAGGTGCACTGCTGAGCCACAACTTCAGCCCTTGTTTATTCTTATGCCAGTTGGTAGACATTTGAATTGCTTCCAGTTTTTGTCTAGTATAATGAATACTTTGATGAACATTCACAACTCTGTTTGTGGACATATATTTTCATTTCTCTTGGGTAAAAACCTAGCAAATACCAGGTCATTTGATAAGAATATGTTTGATTTTATATGATATTGTCATATTGTTTTTTTAATACCTTTATTTTTAAATAAATTTTTACGTGGTGCTGAGGATTGAACCCAGTGCCTCACACATGCTAGGTAAATACTCTACTACTGAGCCACAACTGCAGTCCTGTCATACTGTTTTTAAAACAGGCTGTACTATTTGGGCTGCCAGCCAAAATCAGCAATGTAGGAGAATTCTAGATGCTCTACATCCTCAACTCTATCTGGTATTATCATTAAACTTTAGCCATTCTAGGTGGTGTATCTTGTTATGTTTCTGACTCTCATTTTTCTGATGACAACTGATATTAAACCTTTTTATGGGTTTTACTGGGCATTCATATATCTTCTTTTGAACTTTTTGTTCAAATCTTCTGTCCATTAATTTTTTTTTTGTCTTATTAATGTATTCTAAGAGTTTTAAAAATAGATTCTAGGTATAAGCCCCTGTCAGGAATATGTTCTGAAACGGTATCTCTCAGTGTGTGGTTTACCTTTTCATTTTCTTTGGTGTGTCTTTTGAAGAGCAGAAGTTACATTTTGATGAATAGTATTTTATCAACTTTTTATTTTATACATTATATTTTCTGTGTGTTCTCTAAGAAATCTGCTTCTCCCAATGTCACAAAAGATTTTTCCAAGAATTTTTCCTAAAAGAATAAAATTAATTTAGCTCTTTAA